GTGGGTGTGAAGGGCGTGCTTAACCACTGAGTCATCAGTGCTCCTTAGTCCTAAATTATGAGCCCGTATTTCTATACTTCAGCTGTAGTCACCGTGGAGGAGAGAGGAATGAAACAATTTGTCCTGTGGTGGCTTATATTCTTGGGAACAAGGTCATCTGCACAGGAGTATCTGAGGGAAAGTTGTCACTTCTTAATAACACAGGAAGCTTCATTCCCAGGAGTTTCTGTCCTCCCCTCCTTCTCTTTCTGACATTACTAAAAAGGTAGGAGATTAATCAAGGCTTCAAAGGTTAGTGATAACAGGTGGTGACATCGATGCCCTGCAGCCCAGCTGAATAGCAGCACAGTGGCCAAGGTTGGCTTCGTGCTGCAGAATTTGGTGAAAATCTGTTCACAGCTCAGGAAGAGAGAAAGGCAAACTATTTTCTGGTGCCGGTGTTCATATTTAAACACTGGCCACTGAAGAAGAATGCTGCTCACCCCGCCTTAGCTTCCTGTGCAGCCCATGGACTATAGTTATAGCAAAGGAGAAACTGGAAAGAAAATCTTCAGAAATTGAAGGAGGACACATACGAGTTTACAGTGAGTCACTGAACACTGGCCTTGAGAAGGGCTTTATTAGGGGAGTCTAGGAGATCTGGTGGTCTAGTGGTAGGAGCTATACTACAAACTCAAAGACACAGGTTTAAATCCATCAGCTGCTCCAGGGAAGAAAAATGGGCAACCTCCTGTGACTTCTTGCCTCTGAAAACCTGTTGGAGGGTCAGCTATGAGTCGGTTCCATCAAAAACAAGGAATCCTGGTGGTGCAGTGGTTAAGCACATGGCTACTAACCAAAAGACTAGCTGTCTGAACCCACCAGCCTCAGAAGAAAGATGTAGACACACACTATACGCTTCTACAAAGATTTATAATCTTAGAAAGCCTATTGGCCGTCCTTATAAAGTTATTTTGTTGAGGGATTTTTTTACAGGTCAATCTCCAAATGATGGTGAAGGAGGTGCTGGGAGGGGAAGTGACTTGCCCCAGGCCACAACAAAACAGGGACAGCATGAGCCCTAGAACTCCCATTTGATTTCCAGAGTGAGGCTCCTGATGCTGGTCTGACAAATAGGGTACGTGGCATTTCAACAGTTTAAGGACTAAGGATGGGGTGGAGCCACTGAAAAGGAGCTAAGAGCTCAGCAGCTCCTGGAAGAGCTTTACGGGGCTGGTTGGCATAAACTTGTCTTGGGTAAAGTCAACATTAGAGGGTCATGGGAACATTCCAGGAGATGATTAGCACACAATTCTCTCTGGTTTCCACCAAGACTCAGACAGCTGAAGGCAACCAGCAGCATCAAGGCATGAAGGATAAGAGGGGATGCCCCACGCTGTTTCTCTCCAAGCTATTCAGAAATATCCACCCAGGAGAAGTGAGGAAGGAAAAGTTAGATTTGGTCTAAGGAGAAGCTATCTTGGAAGCTCAGTGTTAGCCTCTGTCCACTTTGCTCTCTGGGATTGTCCATTTGCCCCCAAAGAGGCCTGCTGAGGCTGCTCCTCAATGCCACTGCCTAACTGGCCTGTCCAACTCTACCCTCAGACCTCAGTATCTACCAGCATGGACTGGATCAGATTCTCTAGCTATAGCGCATGGCAGCCCACCTTCATCAAGCCTGACCACCCCCTGCAGGATGTATGGGACCCCTCTAGTCTACCTCTCCCCAGCCCCTTAAATCTTTATTCTGAAACGAGTCAGACTTCAGAGCCAGCTGGAGTTGTACAAGAGGCAAAGGAAACACTGGGTGCCAGGGAAGGAATTCCTTAGCCAAGGTGCAAGGAGCAAGTACTGGGACCTTTGAACAACCATGAAGTGGTTGAGAGTAAGCAAAGGAGGGCAAATGACAGCAAGAAAGTCCCCCAGTAACTCCTTTGAGGACTGGTCCGAGGGCTCCCCCACCCCATTCCGGAGCTGCTGTGGGCTCACACATCCATCCTACCTGCCTGGCCAGGCCTGCCCTGCTCCCCTCCCGAGCTCAGGCTGAGCTGGGGACCTGAGGAGGAGCAGGATCACGTCCCCTTATGTAAGAGCTGTGTCTGTCTCTCTCTAAATAATCCCACTACCAGGGCCTCAAGCTTTCAAATGGAAGCGCCTTCCTTCCTCCCAGGGCAACTCTGGACCAGATCTGGGAAGCCAGTCGTAGCCCGCCCAGCGGGGACCAGCCTGGCGCACGGGTGCGGCTGAGTCGTGCTGGGACAGCTCCGCGCGCCTCCCGAGCAGCGGCGGGCCGCTACAAGGGCAGAGCCGGCTGCGAGCAGAGGGCCCGACTCCTCCCGAGGCGGCCGGGGAGCAACAGCCTTGGGGAGGGGGACAGGGATGAAGGCAAGTAGATGTGGCTGGGAAAGGAATGAATGACTATGCGAACAGATGAGCGGAGACAGCACCCAGGAAGTCGTCCCAGGGAAGGTTCCCTGCCCTGCTCGGTGCTGCCAGGATCATCCCTGTGCCCCCAGGCTTGGATACCTGGCGCGGAGCCGCCGTGGATATCCAGGACCCCGCGCGGCCCCGGGGCGCCCCGCAGCACCGCGGCTCTGGCCCGGAGCCCGCATTCCGGCGCCCGGGAAGCGCGTGCCCGGCAGGCAGAGGCTCACAGACACCGCCCGGCAGCGGCCCCTCGCGGCGGCCTCCTGGGCCCCAGCCCGGCCTGGGCCGCAGTCCCCTTACCTGTCCGCCTCCACCACTTCGCTCCGGCGTAGGGCAGTCATCACTGCGCCGCGAGCACCCGCGGGACCCTGCCTGCCCGGGGCGTGCCCGCCTCAGCCCGCCCATTGGCTGCTGCCCGGGACAGGCCCGGCCGGTGGGCAGTGCCTCCCGCCCCCCACCACCTCGCCCCGCCCGGCTAGGACTTTACATCTTCCCGACCCACGCCCCAGACGGGGTGGGCGCCTCCTCACCTATCCCTGTCCACACTCCTGATGCAGGAGTTGATTTTCCTCTGCAACGAAGTGGTATGTAGGGGAAATAGTGCCGATGGCAAGAATCGAAATCAGGCCCGTGTCCAAACATTTGTCACCATTGGTTTCCACGCATAGGACACTTTGAACAGCAAGTAAAAAGCCTTGCCACAGCTTGCGCCCTCACAATCTGTCATGTCAACCTGTTATTCCATCCATCTCCTGAAGGGTCTTCCTTTCACTGACCCTCCACTTTTCCAAGAGAAACGTCCCTTATCAGGGACTGGCTCCCACCCAATCACCCGGGAACCCAGGTGGACATGAAGTGTTAGGGATATGGGCAAAGGTGGAAAATCTTAAGGGATAGAGGATCCACCATGAGGTAGATGTAAGCTCCAAAGGACGAGGTTCACCTTCTACTTTTCACATCACAGCATTTTCACAGATAAAAATGTGTGTGCTCATTTCCCCCTTTTCAACAGAGCAAGATCCCCTCAGCAACCCTTGAGCCATGAGTCCTTAAATATGAAACTATTTGTAACTATTTACTTGCTGAAGCCTCTTCTACAGGTGGCCATGGAACTGCCAATGGTTAATAGAAACTGACTTCCTTTCCAGTGGTGATAAGCACAGGTCATGTGCCGTACTTGTCATACCTTCTATACTCCTCTGCCTTGTAGTAAGCTATTCCTGCCCTCCACCACCTTCTCCAAACTCTGGAAAAGCGTCAATCTCCTTCCAGAGGGAAGAACAAGTCTGCCTGGAGACTAGAATGCCCTCAAAGTCCTTCTCCCACTAGAAACTTCTTTGTAGTGACGGCCAGAAATAAGGGTAGTGAAGACACAGGATGTTGTTTGGTGGTTGACGACACGGTAATCATGAAATGGACTCATTTAGGACACCTCTTCCCACTAGGTAGAAGAGTAGGTTCCATTCCCAGCACTTTCCCAGCAGCAAGGCCCTGCTACAAGGGTATCAGCAATGGATGGTCACAAGAGGAGCCCAGGTCTACTTCTGGAAGCTTAATCCTGATTCCATTTCCAAGAGCATACATTTCAAACCTAGTTTTAAGACCCTAAAGGAGAGTTATGAAGGTTTGTCACTCATGGGGCCCTTTGCCCTGTCTCCTCAAAGCTTTTGTCCAAATACACTACTTTTCCACTAGATTTCTGACGGTGTAAACTGCACAGGAGAAAGGTGTGTGGCCTCTGGGTGAGCAACACAAGCGTCTATAAACATTGAAATTTCCCCATCTAGTAATCCTACCTCCCTAGAGTGTGAAGGGGGTAACAGACACCCCAACCCCACCCCACAAGAGTGAGCTACTTACTGCTTTCCTGAGCAGCCCTGCGCCCTGAAGATGACAGGCAGTCTGAACACCTACCACCAGACCCAAGGCTCTTGCCATTTTTATCCTGCTCAGAGAGCAGGGTTAAACCTCCCAGTAGAAAAAAAGAGGAAACAGGTGCTTCAGCTGTTGTTTATTGACATACAGGTAGGCTCTATAGCAACAGGCCTGGAGGTGGCTGTAGTGGGAAAATGGAAGGTGGAGGGAGGAGTGTTTGTAGAGACAGCTGAATGGAGTGCAGGAAAGAGAAGTGCCCAATACACGAACAAGGTGAGAACAGGGGAGGCTGAAGGACTGCAGAAGCGATTAAGGGCCAAGGCCACTCTGCGTACACTTTAACCACTGCCCCGTGGCTTCGGCCCTGGCTCTTGCTATTTCCTGACCCCAGGCCAGGACTGAATTTTCTACAGGAACTGAACACAAAGGAGAGGGAATCGCTGACCTTTTGCATTAAATAAGCACAGGGCCTCCAGTCCTGCACCCCTCATTCTTCCCTTGCCCGAGAGGAGAAAGATGAAGGCAGTCAGCCTGAGTTACCTCACCAAACCAGGGTCTTAACAAACAGTCATGTGTCACAGAACTTTGTCTTTCTTCCCTGTTGTCCCAGCCCACCAGTGCCACACTATCCCAAGTAAGCACTACAAGCGTTGCTGGCCTAATGGATGGGTTGTGGGGAGAGGATGGGACAGGGGCTGGAGGACGTCCCCCAGGGTCCATCATGGCACAGGCACTACACGCATGGTGTTGGTGAAGCCGGAGCCTGGACGCCACCCAGTCAGCACAATGACCACGTCTCCACTTTTAAAGAAGCCTCGAGCTTTACCTGGAGGAAGAGAGGAGAGAGTACTAATGAGAAAAAGCCAAGAGAGGCAGGGACCGCACCACAGCTCAGTGTGTGGGATGGGGTAGGTGGTGCTGTTGACTGCTACTCTCTCAAGCCACAAGGTGGCGCAACACACATGCACACACAGGACAGGACAGGAGGTTGAGCTCTTGAGACTTCCTTATCGCATGCATGGCATAGTTGGCAGGGACCTTTGGACATCATTTATTTTATACTCTAAGGGGTGGAATGCCTTGCCCAAGGTCAGAGTAGCTGTTGTCTCACATCCTGTGACATTCTTCACAAGGACAAAGGCCACAGTGACATACACAGCTGGTCAATTTTTAAGAAAATTCAGTCATGAGCACAGATCAGGGTCTCTTGCATTGGGCCCTTGGTCGAGAGGGAGAGTTTCAGTTTCGAGACCATTCCTAGCAAGGACAAGGTGTGATCAGTCGGGGTTCCCACTTTCAATCCCTAAACTTTTGGGAGCCCAGCCACATACCGACATTCATGGCCAGGTTCACCCGGAGGTCCACATCTTCAGCCCAGGCTGACTGCACTGCGTCCTTGCACAGCACAGGGAAGATGCCACGG